CAACGGTGATGACGTGGCAGTTGACTGCTGATGTGGCACCTGACTGGGACTGCTGACGTGGCAGTAACTGGACCCCTTCTGCTGACGTGGCAGGTGACTGGACTGCTGACGTGGCAGATGACTGGACTGCTGATGTGGCAGATGACTGGGTCTTCCTTGCTGATGTGGCGATGACGTGTCAGATGATGTGGCGACACGTCATCATCTTCTTCCTTAGGATTTTTTTTTTTTTCCTCAAAACTTCAGAAGGATGTAACTCTCAGCTCCGGTGTCCGTTTTTCGCCCGTAAGATACCGTTGCAACCGTCTCGACGAGACGAATCTAACAGTGTTCTCGGAATCGAATTTCGAGCACAACTCAGAAACTCGAAATTTCTACAGAGGCTCGGAAAAATTCAAAATTAAGCTCGAAAGCTTCAGACCAAGCTCTGATACCACTTATGTGGTATCATCCCAAGATCATAAACATAATTGAGAGAAAAATAAGTTTCTATTACTCACAAGAATAAAAAACAAGAGATTTACAAACTCTAAACAAAAAACTCTCAAATTCTCTCACAACTCTTCTTGGTTGTGTTTCAACACTCTCAAGGTTGATTGATCACACTCTTGGATGATTTGAATGAATGAAATAACAAGCCTATTTATAGGCAAGATTGAGCACACCTTTGTTGGCAAATGTGTGTGAATGGGGATGGTTGGTGGAGGCTATCATTCTTGGACTTCTTCCTTGGTGTGCTTGAACGTTTGGTGGATGGACTTGGTGCATGGAACTTTCAATGCAGAGGTCTCTGCCTTCCTCCACCTGAAACAACATTTTCAATACAAAGTTATCGAGTCACTTATTCGACTAAATCAGAACAAGAAAATGGGCCACATTTTTTTATCTGCAAACACACTACTACTTCAAAGTTGTGACACAATATACAAATGTGCCACATTTTTGTAGTTTTCAAAGAAAGCCGGTGTGGGATTGGGTACACCACAAGGACACTAACATAATGTCATAATTACTTAGCTTAACAAAATAATTACACAAACACAATATATACAAGATACAAAACTTCACTCATCAAGACCAAAATACCTTAATGGCGGGTGCTCCCAATGTGGACGTTTTGGTCCGGTGATTGGGCGAGACTCGGCTGAGCAATTTTCTCCTGTGGCAGCACGCGTGTGCCTTATTGTACTCCCCATCTGGTCGGAAATCAGGTTCCGGCATCTGGTATGGGCGGTTTTGGATTTCCAGAGAAATTTTGCATATTTGGAAAAGAAACGAGAACAAAGCTAGGATTGGTTTTTGTAGGATAAAAAAAGTGTGATTTAGAATATATGAATGTATAATGAAACGGCGTCATTTTGTTGTCACTTGAAAAACAAAATTGTACGTGGAAGTTTTACGGACACGTCGGATTTTCGATGGGTCGATGGGTGGTTTTTTAAATTGGTGCACCAATTTGCAAAGAAAATAAAGTGATGGTATAATTTGTCAAAGTCCGTGATTAAATGCATATTCATGAAATTTTGTCTATAATAAAGTCTTTTCGTGCAAATTTCCATTCTCATCAAAACAGTTTGCAAGTATCTGCAGCAAATATCAGAGATAATTACATAAAAGATCCCTGAGGTTCACTTAATTGCAGAAAGTACTCAGAATAATTTTTCAATTCACCTCACTTGAAATCTTGCATATAATGATCGAGATGGGCTCTTTTGTTCTTATAACATCGATGTCACTAGAAATGATTTCGTCGAATTTCGCATCGAAAACCGGAAAAAATACATATAAAAAAAAACAGATGCAAATACTTTTAGTTTTAGCACTGCAAAACTACAAAAAAAAATGACTATAAAAAATTTACAGCATTTTAAGTTGTAAAAGTATGAAAGTTATTACATTATCTGTAAAACACAGAGTGTACTCTGCACTAAGTTTAGAAGCATCTCGCAATCGAGCTCACGGTCATCTGGATTGTGATCACGAACAATTTCCCTTATCAGAAGTTCTTCACTGATGGCCGATAAGGAAATTTATTGAGATCTGCATTTTGAGGCACGCTCATGACTAGCAAAAAAAAATGCAAAAGAGAAAAAGGAAAATATTTTTAGAGCTATAAATAAGATTTGTGTTGCTTTTTCTAAATGAGATAGAGCTTGATTAATAACTGGTGGTGACTTAACTTTGAGTAGACACTGTACATTTACCACTTTTCGAAATGAAGTAAAAACTGGAAACACTATTTAATTCGGTTTTGAGAAGTAAGAACATTTCACTATGAAATTCGAAAATATATCTGTTGATGGAAAAAAATGGCTCGTCTAACTAGTTTTTATACGTCAAATCGACTGACATAAGCTTTCACATATCTCAAACAAAGGAAGAAACCTTAAAAATGAAACCCATATGTGTTGATGAAAAAATTCAAGGTGAAAGATGAATGAATAATTGATCTTGATGCCTACTGGTTTAGACATCAAAAGGCAAAGCAATTATTAAAAAAAAAATGATTCTAATGTCCTAATTATTCTTTGTGGGAACAGTAATGAAAACAAAATAAAGTTGAGACGTTCATATTCTTGACATAACATATAGATATTATATGTTTACTGCTGTATTTATGTTAATGCACTTTCCAATGATACGTTGTCTAAACCATTTTTTACCACATAAAAAAATTCAGACAAATTCGTGAAGAAGAACATTAATTAATCAAAGCACGTCTATCATGCATCCATGCACGTACAAATTCAAA